CAACAAATTATTAAATTAATAGTTCTTTTTAAATTCAGGTTGAATCAATATTCATTCTAATAAGTGTATTTTTAATTAAAAACTATTAGAGTTTAAATGTATTAGTCTAACTATGGTTGAAAATATTAACATAACTTTGATATCCTAGTTTGAAGTGTCTTTTTTTTATTTATAACAAACATTAGATACAGAGGTATCAAATTAAAGTTTATTGTCTTAAGTTACGTTCTTGAAATAATTTAATTAATAAAGATACATGTGAGTATATTTCCTTTTTAATTGATATTCTCATTAATTTATTTATAGTATATTTCTTTTTCATAACCTTTATATAATTAAATTAGTGTTTATGTTAAAAAACATAAATAAATACACACTAATCTTATTCAGCTTTTTTAACTTCTTTTTCATATATTGTTACTTTATTATGTTGTTAAAATAACATTCTTCAATCAATTGAGACTGTGTTTATATAAATTATTATTGGCATTTATTTTATTTATTGAAATTTTAGTTATATCGTAATTCTTATTATAATGAAATTCATAAATACTTCTTTATGAAAAACATATCAATAAGTTTTGTAGTATTAATGAAAATTGAAGCATATTCTTTGTTTAAAAAAAAAATAAAAATCAATTTCAAGAACCTGAAAGATAAAAAAAACAAGGAGATTTCAGTTTGAATGAATTTGGATTAAAGATTCCAAGAATCATCATTAGTTTCATCAAGTGAAAAATGAGTTAATTCGGTTGCATGACAACTACATAACAAACATTCATTAGCTAATACGTTAATATCATTATCTTTTTCATACTCAGTAAGAACTTTAACAGCAAATGAGGTTTTGTGTAGATTTAATTCATTGATAATACAGTCACGATGATATTTATGACCACAACAAAACATAATAAGTTGAGGATCTATCTCATTTAATTTTTTTCTACACATACTACATACATCCTCATCAGAATAAACAACATATTGGAATGATGGTTCAGCAAATGACAATTCTTTCTGAGCAAGTTTCTGAGACATTTCAGCAAATTGTGAACTTGAAAGAAAAACCATACTTACTAAATCTTCTCCTTTTGTTTTGTATTCTTTAAATTTAGCATCAATCATTTCCATCATATCTTTTAATTTCCATTGTCTAAAACTTGGAAGAATTAATGGTAAAGATGCTAATACTGATTGAATTGATATTTTATGATTTTTAATAACATCTAAAACATATTTTTCTCCAACACCGGTATCACATGCATCAACAAACCATTTTAATGCTTGAACAACTAAAGTTTCTCTATTTTGTTCATTTGGTTCTTTTCCTACTAATTCAAACATTTTATCAATTTCATCTTGAAGTTGAGATAATTGTTTATCACTTTGTTTAATCATTAATCCTTTCATTTCAATTGCTTCTGCATAATTTCCATTATTTTCATAAATACATGACAATGAACGATACATTCTTCTTCTTTTTAATTCTCTAATAATATAAATACTTGTAACAGGAACATTAATTCTTGAAAACAATAAACTATTCATATTTTTATCTAATTCAGCAGATGTTCCTGGCTCTTCTTTAAGGTATTTCCAAAACAAAATTTCTAATAATTCACTAACATCCATTCCGTCATGTGTTCTTTGATTAATTAAGTTTCTAATAAATGGTTGAAGAATATTAAATTCAATTTCTTCTCCAACTAAACTTAAAACAGTATATAATGATTCTTCACCAAAAATATCTCTTGTTTTTAAGTATTCATTAAATAATAATGGTTCTTCCCTAAATAATACTCCAAAATATTTTTTAGTTAATTGAATACATTCTTCTCGTTCTTCAGCTTCTTCAGATGAATACATTTTAATTAATACTTCAATACCTTCTGAATATTCACAATTCTCTATATAATAATTAAGTAATCCAATCATATCATTATTTGTTTCACAATACCAAATAAATAATTCTCTATCACCACAATTTCTTATTAAATAACGAATAATTTCTTTATCAATAATTGTTTTAGCATAAAATCGTTTTTTAAGGAGATAAGTTAATTTTTTCTTTAATAACTCTCTTTGGTCTTGAATTCTGACATTATTTAATATTAATATCACGCACCATGTATATAACAATGAAACTCGTAATCGAGATTTGATATTTGTTGAATCACTAATAACTTTATCTAATGCTCTTAATAATACAAATATTAATGTTTCATCATTCATCATATTTTGAATAAGTTGAACATCAAAAAATTCTTCGTAATCCGGTTTAACGGCATGTATCTTATATAATGAATATTCAGTACATACCCAAATATACCTTTCAACTGGATTATTCTTTTCTAATGTCATACAAATTGCCTTTCCTTCAATTAATTTGGTACAACTCGTATTATAGCCATAATCAAAGCAAACTAATGAGTCTGGATATAATTGATAAACTTGATTAGGTGTTTCAATAACAAAATCTGAATCAACGTAATCACTTGAAACTCCTCTTTCATTAAATTTATCCACATCTTTATCATTACTAAAAAATGCATAACGTCCACGGAATAATGACCTTCTAATTCTTCCATCTTTTAATTTGTATTGTCCAGTTAAATAACTTACTCGATAATTCATTGCATCTTCTGTCATTCCTTCATACTGAACAATCATCATTCCTTTACTTCCTTCAACAATTTCATAAGGTGGTTTATTTGATACTTCACTTATATAAACAAATTTATTAGAACCTTTTGTTTCAATAATAATTTGAAATACAATATTATTAGTACATGCTAAAATAACTGTACAAATAGAACCAATAATCCAAAAAATGTCGGTAATTTCTCCCTCATTTTTAAAATTAGTGATATCTTTAACCAATTCAGTTTTTGCCTTTATATGTTTACCACTTTGAGATAAAGATCGTTCATTAATTTCATCTTTAACAAATGGAAGTGGATAAACAGAAACTGAAGTAGTTTGAATTGGGTTTTTCTTAATGTGAACAGTTAATGAAAATATACATCCAGTATTAGTTCCAACAAACAAATTAAGCTCAGTGTTCATTGATGCTTTTTGCTCAAATCGAATAGTAGAAATTTTAATTTCTTTATTTCCAGAGGCTTTAATAACTTCTTCTGGATAAGAGACATTAAAAAATACTGGAGATAATTTAATACGTTCACAATATGACATTTTATTTCCAGAATATAATAAAATAATATGAACTCCTGTTGGATCAATAACTCCCATTTGGATAGTCTCTTTATATAAATTAGGAATCATATGAAAATCATTATCTCTAAATAAAAAACAATTATGTGAATCAACCATTAAACATGCATTGTTTTCAGCAAAAATTGCTCGTGGTTTTATTCCTCTTGAAGAAAAATCGTATTGTTCTGCTTTAATCCAATTTGGTCTGAATAATTCTTCTTTATCATCATATTCTGTTTCGTTTGAAACATTTGATAATGATTTCTTTTTTTCAATTTCATCATCAATAAATTCACTGTCTTCGGAACCACAAATTTTCTTAAATTGATTAGTGATAATAAAGTCATCATCATTAATAATAGGTTGCATAATTGGCTCAACTTCATTTTCAAGTTTACTTTCTGAAGAAACACCAGCTTGTTTTAATTTTTTTAGAACGTATGTTGGTCTTCTACTTTTTTGTGACAATTTATCTACAGCAATTCTATTCCACTCTCTTCCTCCAACAGAAGCAGTTTCACTCCTTCCACTTTCTGAAACAGTTTCTGATTCACTTCCAGATACTTCTGTCATAGTAATTGGTCGGTTATTATTTTTTGTAAAGAAAGGAGAAGATGGTTGAGAATTCAAACTTCGACGATCACGTCTACTCATAAATCCTTGTCTTTGTTGTTGTTTAATTTCACTTCCTGACATTTGAGAATCACTAGATCCAGAGTTATCATCAGATGAAGAAATAACAGGTTGATTTCTTGACATTAATTTTCTAATTCAGTTTTTTGAGATTTCTTTTTTTCTATCAAAAGAATTTCTTTCCTTCATTTTTTTTTATATATTTTATAAAGAAATTATTAATAACTTTTTTTTCTTTAAAACTTTTTAATTTCTCTTTATTTCTTATCACTTCTAAAAATCCAATCTAAAAAACAATATGACAGATACTCAAATAGAACAACCAAAATCCACTGAACAAATACCTCATCCTTCTTTGGAAAGTAATCAAACTCAACAACAACCACAACCAACTAAACCAGCTATTGGATCAGATGGAAAAGCTATTCTTCGATTTAAAGGAATAAATATTCCAGGAGGAAAGGCACTCCCAAAAGGATATAAAATGTCAAAAGATAAAACAGTTGAACACATTCTTTTGTTTATAAACAAACAATTAAGAGATACAACTACTACTTATGTTTGTTTTTCTAATATATATAATATGACTCAAATTAATTAATAATAAAATAGAGGTTATACTTTAACAACTGTTTATTAAATCCTGATGATACCATTGCCGATTTACTAAGAGAGTTTCAAGTTCAAAAACCAGAGATTGAACTAACCTTTTCACCTATTGATAATGTCTTTGGTTAATTTACATTGGTCTTTGTTTAAAAGACTCTATCGGTTTTATAGAGAATGTATTTAAAAATTATATAACTAACTTTATTGGTTTTACCACTTAATCCAAAAACGATCAATTAGCACTCAATATTAGCTGGATCAATTTTAAATTGTTCAGCAAGTATATCAGCTATTTCATGGACAAAATCTCCTTGAACATTAATACAATCAACACCAACTGTTTTATCGATATTAGCACCAACTGAAAATTTTTTTGAAACGAATTTAGAAACGTCTTGTTGTTTTAAACCAAATTGTAAAACTCCAACAATTTTTGTCACAGACTGTTTTTTATTTCGTTTGACATTCATAATTTTTATAACTTTCTTTTGTTCTTTTCCCTTTTTAACTTCTTTTTTAGTTGTTTCTTTTGACTCTGTTGGTTGTTGTTCATCTTTGCTTTCTCCTTTTTGTTCTTCATTAGACTGTTCTTCAGTTTTTGCTTCTGTTGTTTGAGCTTTAGTACATTTAGCAGCATTTGGACCATATGGACATAAGTCTTTTGGTAAGTGACAGAGAGGACATAACTCAATTTCAACTTTTGTGTAATACTTTTTTTCCTCTGACATTCTTTTTATATAAATTACTTTACAAGTTCATTTTTTTTCCTATAGGGTTTTACTATTTTTTACTATATTTTTACTATTTACCTATTCTTTTTATTGACCTTGCTAAAACTAATGACTAAAGTTATTAGTATTAAACTTATCACATTAATAATAATACTCTCATTCATTAACAATTAACTTTAACACTTTCCGTTTCCTTCTCTTTTATGATCCTTATAAAAATAAAGTTCATTGTGTTATGTCAAATATAGAAAACATTTCATTATGTTCTCTAAAAGAACGATGTACTATACAACTTAGTTATAGAATATGAAGCTTTATATCCTTAAAAGTAAAGAAAAAAAAAGAAGTGATTGTTTTTCATTTGAATATTAACAATTTTCAAGTTGTAATAGAACGAAGATAGTTATTATGTTTATCTATTCAAGAAAAAATAAAATAAGGAGCAGAAAAATAAAATTGATATTTAATAATGTTGTGATTTAACAATTACTTACTTTTTATAGTATAGAAAATTAAAGAATTTAATGATTTTATTTGTTTATAACACTTGCCAACTCTATTTTAATATTTTATTATGTATTACATTATACTGTTTCGTCAAGGTATCATTAACAATAATCTCCTTTAATTTTTATATCATCAAAATGTAATTTAATTGACCTGTAACATACCAAATAAATTATTTCTTAAAGAAAATACTTATAATTAACTCATAGTAATTATTTCTAAGAACGTAGTAAGATGATGTATAACAATATCCCTAAAACGAAAAACTAATGTCGTTGGACCTACACTCTCTTTTCAAGTGAAAGGTATTTCTTTCAGTTAATTTGTTTAATATAATACTTTATGAAAGAAAGAGATTTTTTTGGAGATGATATTAATAAATATTATTAAATTTCTTATTTAAGAATAACAAAAAATAATTTATAAAACTAAATTTCATATAAGAAAATAGTTAAACTTAAAAATCATAATATTCGAAGAGTCAAATGAAAGGATGTTTTACTTTTTTAGTCTTCATGATAATGATTATTCAATGTTTTTCTTTTCCACTAAATAACCCAATCATTAAGAAGGGATTAGGAATGATTGGAGTTAAAATATTTGATCCATCATCATTAGGTGGTGTTGGTGGATTAATGGGAAAAAAAGGAGGAATGGCAAATTTTGGAATGGAACAACCAATGGCAAGAGTTGGATCAGAAGGTTCTGTTCTTCCAAAAGAGGCAATTTTAAAAGCGATTGAAGAAACACAACGAATTTTTACATTAGCACTTGATATATGTTTTTATGGACCTTATGGTATTCCAGTTAAGACTCCAATTATAGCTCCAGTTGTTTCGTTATTTAATTTTCCACTTCCTGTAATGACTGTTTATAGACAAATAGAGCTTTTTAGAAAAAAATATACTGCGGAAGAATATCTACAAATAGCTGGTATGGCAACTCAAGGATATATTGTTTCAAGGAATCTTAATTTAAGACATAGAGTTGATTTAGGGACATGGAAGGATACAAATCCTGGATTTTCATTTTAATGATATTGTAATTCATTTTTCTTTAATATCTTCTTATTTTCTTTTATTTTTTTAAATTAAAAGATACAAAACTAAGTCATTTATTTCCAAACACCATCACACATTGTTTGGCATTTTAAACACATACCATTTTTGAAGTTTTGTGTAAAGGTTGTTGTGAACACTTTTCTTTGCATTAATTTAGTTCCACATTTCTTACAATATGTTGCCTCTCTTTCTGGGTCAATAACATTACCACAATAAATATATTTTAATCCAACTCTTTGTCCAATAGTATATGCTTTTCTTAATGTACTGACAGGTGTTTTTGGTGTTGTATCCATCAAATAATCAGGATGGAATGCAGAAATGTGCCATGGAATACATGGATCAACACTATAAATGAATTGTGCAATATTATTTAATTCTTCATCACTATCGTTTTGTCCAGGAATAATAAGTGTTGTGATTTCAATCCATATTCCAAGTTGATGACAACGTTTAATCGTTTCCAATACTGGCTGGAGATGACCACCTGTAATACTATGATAAAATTCTTCAGTAAATCCTTTCAAATCAATGTTCATTCCATCAATAATTCCTTTCATAGCCTCAACACACTCTTTACTTTCATAACCATTTGTAACAAAAACATTTTTCATTCCTTCTTGATGAGCCAATTTACCACATTCTAATGCAAATTCAGTAAATACTGTTGGTTCATTGTATGTATAAGCTATTACAGGACAATTTTTTCTTTTTGCTTCTGAAATAACTTTTTGAGCACTCATAGAATATCCTAATCGTTCAATCTTTCCAATATAATCACCACCTGCTTCTTTTATTTGAAGAGCACATTGGCTAATATCCCAATTTTGACAAAATTGACAAGTAAAATTACACCCAACAGTAGCAATTGAATATGTCATAGTCTGTGGAAGAAAATGAAACATTGGTTTTTTTTCTATTGGAGATGGCCCTGGTCCAATTACTTTACCATAAACAATCAATTCTAAATTTCCATTTGTATTCTTTCTCACTCCACATGCTCCTGTTTCTCCTTCTTTAATCACGCAATACCTATTACATGCAACACATTGAATATTTCCATCTTGAAGTTTTCTAAACAGCATTTGGTGTTGTTGATCAACAGCCATTTTTTATGATTTTTAAGATACTATTAGATCGTTTTGATCTTATTATTAAATGATGAGTGATGTATGAAAGATATGAAAAGTCACAATTTTAAAATAAATGCTTTTACTGTGCCTAATTCAACTGCATAAAGTAATACACCTCCACCAAATATAAACAATAATTTAAAATTGGTTTGTGAGAAAGTTAAAGATTTAATTCATTTGTTTACTTTCATTTTGTTTAATTTTTTCTTTTCTAAAGAAGAAAAATCATCTTTTCAAATGTCAAATCTCTATAACAATAATATTCTTAAAAATTATGGTTTAAATATTTATTTTCGTTATAAATACCATTATTCATTTCTAATATTAGAAATAAACTAAGAAATAACAAAAATATTCTAATAATTAAAAAATAAAACAAAAAAAGACAACACATCATTAATAGATGACACGTAAGAAATAATCAATTTAAATGATTGTAACTTAAAAAGAATAAAATAATTAATATTTTATAATGGCACAAATTGAAATTACTTCTCATTTTATGGTTCCTCCAAGAATTATTTATCAATGTTTAAATGATCCAGAAAGATTAACTGCATTGATGCAATCACCAGTTCAATATAAAGCAGAAATTGGTTCTAAATTTGTTTTATTTGGAGGAGCAGTTTCAGGTGAAATTATAGACTTAAAGGTAAATGAAAAGATTGTATATAAATGGAGATTTAATTCATGGCCAGACGGAAAATATTCACATGTTGAAATTACACTTACAGAAGGTGAAGATGGAGATGATGAAACAGATTTAACATTAGTTCAAAGTGATATTGAACAAAAAGATATTATGAGAACAGAAAATGGATGGAAAATGATATATTTTGAAAGAATGAAGAAAATGTTTGGATATTAAGAAATAAAAAACATTAATTAATTTTAAATATAACATTTTAATAATTCTTTTTTAATTTAAATTAAAAAAAAACTTAAAAAAAAATTGGATATTAACAACAACCAGCTTGTTCTTGTGTAGAAGGAGTTGTTGGTTTGGTAACATTAACACGTTCAGCAGATTTAGTAGATGTTTGTTGTTTTTGATTTTCAATAACTTCTTTAATTAAACAAGTAAATGTTTCCTGAATATTTTCACCTTTAGCAGCAGATGTTTCAATAAAAGGAATTCCAATTTTATCAGCAAGACTTTGACCCATTTCAGTTGAAACAGTTCTGTGTTGTTCTAAATCAGTTTTATTACCAACAAGAATTCTACCTATTACTTGTTCCCCAAATTCTTGTAAATTTTTAACCCAATAATTAATAGCATCAAATGTAGATTTATTTGTTACGTCATAGATTAAAACAGCACCTTGAACACCACGATAATAACTAGTAATAATAGTTCTAAACTTTTCTTGTCCAGCTAAATAAAAGTTAGTTTATATTTATTTACAAGATAAAATCTTATCTCATCTTCTTTTCTTTTTCTACTTATAAAACCGAATTACTGTCTTGAAAATCATTTTTGTTTTTTATCTTTTAAAGTATTTAAAACAAACCAGTATCCCATATTTGAACTTTATATGTCGTTCCATCTACTTCATATCTCTTTGTTAAAAAATCAATTCCAACAGTTGATACGACTGAATTTGAAAATTGATTATTTGCAAACATTTGAATAAGTGATGTTTTTCCAACTGAAGAGTCTCCAACAACTATTAATTTTAAAGGAGTTAAACGGGTAGTATTTCTTACCTGTTGTGCCATTTCGTTAAGAGCAGAACTTAAAATTAATTTAATTTTTTTTTTCAAATAAAAAAAAACTAAAAATAAAAATCTTAAAAAAAACTAAAAATAATAATAAAAAAAAAGAAAACTTTGAACTTCATCTGAATAAAACATTACAATTATGACCACTAATGATGTAGTTGCCCAACCAAAACCATTTAGAGCAGTTCCAGTTCAACCAAAACCAGTGTTTGTTTTAATTTAATATAAAAAAACAAAAGAATAATAATTGACATTTATAGCAAAATAGATGTACCAATAACACAATCTGTAGAACAGTCAAGCGAATCAAATTCAATGTCAAGTTTCACAGATGAAGAAATAAAAAATTTGTTATTATTTAAAGAAAATTCAAATGGGTCTACTCCATCTGATGGAAGAGAATTATATACTCCACCAAATCGTTGTGAAAATCCAGATATTTCTGAATCAGTATTTGATCAATCCTCTTCAATAGCAATAAATAGTCCTATTCAAGAATTTACTGGTTGTGGATTAACTGATTTATCACCACCTCAATATTCACAACTTGCTCGTAGTTTTGCTGGATGGTAATTTTAAAACTGAATTGTGACTGTTTCATTTCATTTTGGTTATTTTTGTTTTGGCAGTCAAAATAATTAAAGATCTTTAGTAAAAAATAAAAAAGATTAAATTATTGATATGTCTTCATCTTGTTTTTATGATTATTGGGAAGTATTTATTTCTCTTTCTTAATTTTTGTTTTACTTCTACTCATTACTTATTTTATATTATGTGAGAATTAATTCTTCTTCTATTTTATTATCAGAATTATTTGCATAAGTCATTAAGTCTTTCATGTTTTTGGTTATTATTATTTGTCAAATATTATTGTGAAAGTCTGATTTTAATTTTATTATCTTTATTCTTCTGACCCATTCCTTGTGTATTAATCCATTTATTGATAATATAATAGGTGTTATTTCTTCATTTATTACTCACTACTTATTTCTTTATTTTTTA